TCTCACGCTGCTCCGAGCCAAGGCCCCTCGCCCGGACAGTGCTTCTGAGAGGAAGCGGCGGCCCCTGGAGAGAGCCCTGCGGGTCTAGGGTGCCGGGGCGGCCCCACACGCCCCCTCCCTTCGGCCTCATGTTATCAGGTGGACCCAGCGCCGGCGTGGCCTCTGGGCATGGCGGGGACGAGCCCAGAGTCGGAAGCTACACGGAGAGGGACTTTCCAGCAGCCCACGGCCGAGCGAGCGGCAACAGCCTCCAAGGGAAAGTGGCCTTCGCCGAGCGGCGTCCACACCCACACCGTCCCCAGAGGTGGCCAGCGGCCGCGGAGCTCGCAGGAGGCGTCGCCCGTGGCTTCAGTGGGCACCGGCTGCCCCGCTGTGACTCACCCCTCCCGGCAGGGCGGCGGCTCAGGTAAAGGGCCTGTTCCTGCAGAAGCCCCCAGGGAAACGGGCAGCCTCACGTGTGGGGCGGGGGGAGCCCCACGCGCCAGGCCGCCCCCCACACGCCGCCTCCTCGCAGAGGCCTGGGCCAGACGGCCGCCTCCCCTGGGCAGCAGGACAGTCTCCCGGCGCCTGTCCCCGTCTCGGCCCAGAAACACTTAGCGGGAGGCTGGAGGCACACAAAGCCGCATTATTGGGAGACTTGCAGACAGATTATAAATTTACTGGGGACAATCACGGCATTTAGAGACTTCTGGCTGCAGGCGCCGGTGACACACAGGCCGGGCCTCCCGCCACCAGCCCCGCTCTCGCCCCTCACCTCGGCGGCGGCTGCACTCAACAGCCCGGCTCCCCCAGGGCCTCCGGAGCGGCAGGTGGAGGGAAGGAGCGGGGCCTCCAGGGCCTCCCGCAGCCCAGGCCAAGCCCGCGACACGGGCTCTGTGTCCTCTGGAGCCGGTGCCGGGCACCTCCACGCGTGTGCATGCGTGTCGGGGGAACAGCCTCATCCTCACAGTTTCTGCAAACTTCGTCACCACAGACCTGGGCTGCGGATAACTGGGACCTTCGAAGCAGGCTCCCCGGCGAGGACGCCCTGTCCCCAGGCCTCGGGCACCGCGGGGGCCACGTCCTGTCGCCGAGGCTCGCTCGGCCCGGCTGGGCAAACCGAAGCTGGCCTGGGGGCTCCGGGCGCAGCCCGCAGGGCCTGCCTCCAGCGCCCGCCAGCAGCGCCGCCCAGGAGCTCCCGGGGAGCCGGGACCAGGCGGGCAGTCACGGGACCAGGACAGGCTCCCCGAACCGAGGCCCGAGGGCTGCCCTCTGGGACGGGCCTGTCTGCGCCTCTGGGGAGGGGGCACCACCCCGGGCCTGGAGGCGGCAGCTGTTGAAGCTCCGCACCTCGGGACTCTGGGGTGGCAGCCTGGCAGCCGCTGAGTCCCCCAACTCCTGACAGCCGGGCTGGAGTCCCGGGGAGCCAGACGCAGGCCTCACAGAACAGCACCTCGCGGGGGCGTCCTTGGGGTGCTGCCCCACATGCTGTCCCTGCCGGAGGGCCCGGGGGACGCCTGGGTCTGTGGCAGCTGGGATGTCCTCTTGGCCCAGGGCAAGACCCCAGAGAGAGGGGCCCAGGCGGCGCGCAAAGCCACTCCTTGGGCCTGGACGGGGCGGGCCAGCCCAGCCGGGGTCCCGGTGGGGCGCTCCCCTGGAGCGGGCCGCTCCTCCCCCCTCCCCAAAGCTGGGGCCCCAGCCTGGCCCCCGGGCGGGGGAGGGAGGCCGCAGCGCCGGAGCGCATCCGACGGCACAAGCAGCGGCGCTGCCCGGGGTGACCTCGGCCGGCGCCCCAGACCCCCGCCCCCGCCCCCGGGCGCGAGCGGCAGCAGCGCGCGGGCCTTACCGCGATCAGCGCGGGCGTCCTGGGGTCGGCGGGCGCGGCGGGCGGCGGCTCCGCGTCGAGGCCGGCGGGCGGCAGGTGCGCGGGCGGGCGCCGCGGGTCGGGCGCGGGGGGCGCGGCGGGCGCGGCGGGCGCGGGGGGCGCGGGGGCCGCCCTGGGGTGCTTGCCGGGCCTGCGGGCGCCCGCGCCGTGCTGCACGAGGCTGAGCAGCTGCAGGGTGCTCTCCCGCTCGCGCCCCGAGCTCTCCGCGCGCCCGCGCTCGTAGCGGCCCTCGCAGCTCAGGTGGTGCCGGCGGCACACGGCGATGCGCGCCCGCAGGCGCTCCACGATGGCGCTGTGCACCCGCGGGGCGGCCGGGCCGCCCCCCAGGAGCCCCGCCGCGGGGGCGCCCCCCAGCCCGCCGGCGGGGGCCTGCGGGGGCGCCGTGTCCCCCATGGCGGCGGCGGGAGTCTGTCCGGGCGGCGGCGGGCGCTCAGCCGCGGGCGCCGGGCCGCGAAGTTCTCCGGGCGCGCGGGGCGGGGCGGCGGGGGGCGGGGCGGGCCGGGCCGGCGGCCCCCGCAGACGGGCGCTCCGCGGCGGCGGCGGGTCCTTCCCGGGCGGGGTCCGGCGAGGGCGCCCGCCCCGCGCGCCTCCGGCCGCCGCCGACGCGCCTCGGGGTCCCGCGGGGCTCCGGCGTCGGGGCGGCGCCTGGGCGCGCGGCGGCTGCTCCGCGGGCCGGGCCGGCGGCGTCGGGGCGGGCGGGCGCGGGGGGCGGGCGCCCTGATCCCCAAGTTGCCGCGCGCGCCGCCCGCGCTGCCCCGCGCGCCCCCCGCGGGCTCCGGTCGCGCCGCGCCCTGGGCCGGTCTCGGGCTCGGGCTCCGCCTGCTCCCGCCGCGCCGGCCGCTCCGCCCGGGCCGGGCCTCGCGGGCGCGCGTCGTGCGCGGCGGGAGGGGCGCGGGCGCGAGCGGCGGGCGCGGCGGGCGGGGCGGGCGGGCCGGGCGGGCGGGGCGCGGGGGGCCCCCTGCCGGACGCCGGGCGCACTGCGGGGCCCGCGGGCCAGGGGCCGCCCCCGACGCCCGCGCCCCCCGCGCGCCCGGCCCGCCCGGCCCCGGGGCCCGCGCGGGGACTTCCCGGGCCGGCGCCGCCGTCGGGCGCAGAAATCCCCGGGACGTGCCTCCCCGGCCGCGCCCCCCGGGGTGAGCGACGCGGGGCGCCCGTGACTCAGGGGTGCTCGGGGCGGCGAGGAAGGCGCGTCTGCGTTTGGGGCGAGCGAGCCGGCGGAGGGCGCGGGGCGCCTGGGGGTCCCGGCCCGCTCGAGGCCCCGAGCCCTGGTGGGGGCCACACCGCCCCGCCCGCTCTGGCCCCCCCCGGCCCCCCCAGGGCTCTTCTTTGACAACCAATGTGCGCGCGATGCACCAGGGCGAGGCCCGCGAGGTCCCAGCGCTGCGGCGTCTGGGGGGGGGGGCGCGCTCGGCCAGGGGAGGTTCAGCAGCGTGACTAGCACAACAAAGGGGGCGCCCTGGGGCCCGGGCGAGCTGTGGGGTCGCAGGTGGACGGTAAGTGCGCCCGGGCCTCGCTGGCGCGCGCGCTGCAGCTTAGGGGGCCTGGCGGGTCTGGACGCCCCGGGCGCCCCAGAGACAGAGCGAATCCTCATGGACATGGTGGGGCAAACCGATGCACTTGCAGCTGGATTTGTTTGCAAGTTAGTTCCCCGCAGGCTGCCCAGGCCAGTGCACCTGCGCCCTCCCCGCCCACTGCGCACAAACCCTGGGCGCTGGTTGGCACGGGACAGGCGCGCTCTGCTGAGCGCCACCACCTCCCACCCACCGCCCTTTCCAAGGCTGCCCCGACCCGCCGCGGAAGGCAGGAGTGTGTCTTTGTTAAGCTGCAAAATTTGAGCAGACACCCCCCCGGGGTGCCTCGGAAGGTACCGGACTTCTGGCCGTTCCCGAGTCGCGTTCGCCAGACGGCCACACGGGCACTTGGTGTTCAAGTGCTCACGCTTGACGAGGGAAGCGAAGCGTAGCGAGTGTTCCGGTGTGAGGCTCGCTGTCCCTCTCCAGTCCTGCCGCCGGGTCACGAGCAGTGAGAGGCCTGGGTCCCGTCAGCCGCTGTTCAGGACACGCCCGCAGGCCCCGAGCCGGAGTCCAGTGAGCCTTGGTGTCCTGCTGCACGTGCGGGACGCCTCAGCGTGCGCTGCGCACACACGCGGCCCTTGCGACCGTTTCATCTCAGGGTGACTTCAGCACCCGCATCCTCATTTCCGTTCGCGTGAGTCCCCCTTTATTTGCCATCACTGTTCCAGGCGCAGCCCTTTGAATTCTCCCTCCTTAGTCCACCACCCAGCCACCCAGGTAGGTGTCGGGGACCTCGCGGATAAATGACTCTGCCTGCGATTGGTGAGACACCGGAGGGCCACGTGCTGGCAGAGGGCAGGTCTGGTCTGCCTTGGCGCCCGATCGCCGCCAACCCTGACTGCCTAACAGCCCTCCCCCGGCCGTCACCGTGAACTGGGAGCCTCCCGTGGCCCGCACACCCTGAAGCAGCGCTCAGTGGCAGCCAAATTGCCCGTCAGCTCGTCCTGGGCAGCGGGCAGAGCTGTTCCTCGGGGAGACGCTGCCCAACAAGCAGCCTGACCTGGGAGCGGGGTCAGGTGCCAAGTCTGGCCGGGTCGTTGCTGCCTTTGTTTGCACGGTTCAGCGCATGCTGCTGAGACACGTGGATCTAGAAGGCCCTCCCTGGGACGCCACTCTCCGCCTGACCAGAGGGCCTTTGTGGCGCTGTGAGCAGTGACCTCCAGGCTGCCAGAGTCCCTGGTGACCCCTCTCCACGTGGTGTTCCCACCCCCCGGGGTGAGGCCTTGCTGCTTCTGGGAGAGTCGCCTCATCGTCCCCTCGCAACTATGCTGGCGCTTGTGAAACGTGATTTCATTTCTCGTCCAACAGAGTAAGACCAGGACTGTGTGACAGATTCCCCGTTCACCCTTCAGAGGGAGTTGGGACCCCGTCTGGGCACCCCGGCCGGCGCCGCGGGAAGTCAGTGGCAGAGAAGACTGGGTAACTGCATGAGGCCTTGGTGTGGGGCAGCCGAGAGGTCCAGGCACACGGAGCCCGCGCCGCAGGATGTCGTCCTCCACGCGGGCTCGGCTCCCCCAGAGCCACCTTCAAGAATTAAAGCTACAGCACAGACGGGCCACGTGTGAGCTTTAAAAGATTTTCCTTTATTAGGGGAACATTGGGATGTGCAAAGCAGCGCAGTTACCAAAATAGGCTTCTGAAGCACTTGTGGCTGACCTGGTCTGAGGCCTCTGATTCTTCCATAAGCACTGCCACAGGCAAGTTACGGTTAAAAATAAAGTACATCTTTATGGCGACCACGGCCATAAGGCCAAAGGGCAGAGCGAAAGCTGTCCAGCAGCAAGCGCGGTGCACCCCGAGCCCTGGGGACTGGCAGCTCGGCGGCCGCGGCTGTTCTAGAAAACGCCAGACGTGACAGCACGGCTCCCTGGTGCGCATCGGGCCTGCCGGGGTGACGTCTCGGTGAAACCCCGGGACTGGGGCGGTCCACACGCAGCAGCCACCGGCATAAGGGGCCCCGGGCAAACGCAGGGGCCTGCAGAACACGCCGCCTGACTCAGGATGATTAAACGCAGCTTCTGTGCACAGCAGACAAGTTTTATTCGCCAGCAGGAGGTCGCTGGGTGGAGATGAAGATGGACGTGTTCGAGGAAGGACTCCTGCTACACGTATGCGACATTATAAACATGTCACACGACACAGACAAACGAGAACTGTGAGCTTCACGTTGAAGACGCGTATGAAATCTGCTCTAAAGGAAACGTGCCGCAATTCAGTCAAACTTCTCGTCCTGGAAGTAATCCGCAGAGTTGAGGCGGCCTTCGAGCTCAGCGTACTTCTGTGTGCGCAAGGGAAAAGCGAGTTACTTCCCAACAGCAGTGAGGGGGGACCCGGCCCTTTCCAGCCGCAGACCCTCGGTCACGGGCGTGTGAGCAAATCCCTCTCCTTAAAGCGGGGACTCAGCGTCCGCAATTCCAAATCCCCCAGAGCGCTGGGACGAGATCAAACTGGACGTTATCATTATTTCACAACTTGTTGGACATTACGGTTTTTCTGTCATCCCACTCAGAGCAGAACCACCTCGGTGACTCACCTGGCAGAACTGCGCCGAGGCCCCAGCAGGTGACACACTCTGCCAGGGATGGTCCTGCCCCGGGAGAGCAGGGCCAGTGGCCACGGGGTGGCTGGAGGCAGGGCAGGTGCCTGGGAGGTGCCCACCCTGCCGGGGTTCAGAGGCTGCCAGTGTCCTGCCAGCAGACCCTGGGGCAGTCGCTCTCCAAGCCCGGCTGATCCTGACATCGGGCACAGTGGCCCCAGGATATAGGAATCACCGTGGGTGCTGCAGCTGACCCCTCTCGGGCCTGACCCCTCTTGGGCCTGACCTTCAGTTCCAGCGGCTCAGCCGTCCTCACCAGGCTGGCTGAGCCCCCCCTCCGCGGCACCACACCCGCGCCCAGGTCACCGGCGCTCACTGAGGGGCTCGCTGGGAGGGCGCTCGCTGCAAGAGGAAAGGCCTGAGGCCGCGGTGGGGGACAGGACTGGGGCGGCTGTGAGGGCGCCCTCCCCGCGGAGCGCCAGGACCTGGGGGCAGACGCGCAGGGTCAGGGAGAACAGTGGGGGGCCCGCCTGGACAGCCTCTGCGCGCTCGGCCGGGCGCCCGCCTCACCTGTCTGATCCAGCCGCTGTCCCGGGACCGCGCGAAGATTCTCTCCACGGTTTCTTTCACCTCTTCGTCTTCGCCTCCCTCCGACCTCGCGATGGCACAGCATTCCTGGTAGAGCTTGAACTTGAAGTGTCTGAGCTTGTGGTAAACCTCGGTGCGCTCGGCGCAGACGCTGCCAACCATAAACACCTGTGCGGAGAGGGACCCCGGGGGCGAGAGTGTGGGCGGCGGCACGGACTCCAGGGTCCTCTCGCCTCCGCGGCCGGCGGCACTTGGCGGCACGCACTTTAAGGTACTTACACTGCTATTGTGTAGGCGTGCCCGGCACAGGTAGCTGACCGCCGCACAGCGTGAACCGGATTGGATACGCGCGCGGGGAAACCAAACACCCCCGCGCCCCCCCTCAGTGTGCCCTTGGCCGGGCAACGTGGCCCGAGCCCGCACTACCTCTGCGCTCCTGCGCCAGCCTCAGAAGGCTGTGCCCGCAGGAGGCTGCGCCTTTAGGAGACTGTGCCATCAGGAGGCTGCGCCTTCAGGAGGCTGTGCCTTCAGGAGGCTGTGCCGTGTCTCCCTGTCCGCTCCGCCTGCCCCTCCCTGCCTGGGCCAGCAGACACCCCACGCCCAGGAAGACTCGGCCAGGTGGTCAGGTGCGCCCCGCGGGGACCCAGAGCCTCGCCCAGCGGGGCACCCACCGCCTCCTGTTCTTCTCCTCTTCCCAGCGCTTTCTCTCCTAGTGGACACGACTCAGACTCTCCGTGGGCGCACGTGCTGACCCTCCCCAGCGCGGGGGACGGCGAGGGGCGCACCTGCGTGTCCTGCGACATGAAGTCGTCGGCGTCCATGGTCCTGGCGTTGTACAGCTGCCCCGACAGGCGCACCGAGAACCGGCAGCAGCGGTGTAGCCCGCACGCCTGGCAGTAGCGCTGCTCCGAGCCCCGCGGGCGGACGCTGACGGCCGAGTAGCTCTCCACGCGCTCCTGGGGACAAGCAGACGCCGGGTGAGCCGCGCGGGGCACATGCAGAGAACCCCAGGAAAGAGACGCAGTAACGGGAACCCCAGTAACAGGACACGCCAGGGACCAGCGGGCGGCCATCAGGAGGGACTGCGGGGCCCGCACTTCGGTCCTTTCGCCGTTTCTCCCCTTTGCTGGTCATTAGGACAGAGTGTCAGGAGCAGGGAGAAATGACAACCCCTGAAATTCACGCAGCACAACCCCTGGTATCAGGAATCACAGAGCAGACATCTGGAGGATAATGTGGAATCGGATAAATCTCACAAACCAAAAAATTGCTTTCGCCAATGGAATGAGTAGGGCCACAAAATCACAAGGTGAGACGGGCACCAGACACGGCAGATCGTGTTTTCTTTTTTTTTTTTTTAAGATTTTATTTATCTATCTATCTATTTATTTACACAAGCACTGGGTACAGTCAGAAGCGCGGGAGGGTGAGAGAATTCACCAGAGCCAGAGCGGGGAGCAGAGCAGGCAGAAGGACCGAAGGACACTGCTGAGGGGAGCAGCGGGCGGCAGGAGAGGTCTGCGCGCCATGGGGGACCCTCCTCCGGTGGCCGGGGAGCAGCCGGGGATCGAACCGGCGCTGCAGAGGCCGTGGGCAGCTGCGCCACCGGGGAGGCCGAGAGATCGTGTTTTCTGGAAACCAAGTGCCCTCGGAGGCGATGACAGCTGCTTCATAAAAGGAACCTCACACCCCACACCCCCCTCTGGAGGGCCACAGTGTTCACCCACGCGGTGACGCACCCTGTAAGGCCCTGGGCGGGGGGACACGTTCACTGAGCCCACTGTTTCTCAGACCCTTATTCTGGCACACGAGCCCCTCACCTGGACAGCCGGCCGAGTCCGACAGGCGTCCCAGTTACGCATCATTCCAGGTGCTTAATTACTGGGCAGCTGTCACCAGAGGGGTGAGCGCAACTGAACTGTCTTTGGAAGAGGTGGGCAAGAAGAGAATTACTTCACGCAGATGAACGCCAGCGAGTTAGATCTAGATCCCGCAGCTTGTCCAGACCCTGAAGGCCTGTCCCTCCCGCGCCGCCCAGCAGAGACTCGAGCACGGCTGAAGTGCGAACCTTGTACTGCTCCTTCCAGCGGCTCCTGGACACCAGGCTGTCTAGACGGGGCCGAACGAAGCGGTTATCCAAATAATCAAGGGACGTCAACATATCCTGGGCATAGGACTTTTGCCGGCTGCCATCTGTTCAGGAAAACAACAACAAAAACAATCACTTTGCTCTAAAATTTTCAAAGAATTGTGCACCTGAGGATTTCCTCCCGTGGTTTTAACAAGATGTTTGGTTGGTTGGTCAGAAGCGCTTTAAATTAAAAAAAAAAAGAGTAAAATAAAATTTAAATTAAAAAATAAAAGAGTAAAATAATATTCTGTGTTAGGAAAGGGCCGCACGAGCGTCTACTTGCTCGCTGAACTCATGTCCACTTTCCCACCTGTCTGTGCTGGCCGAGGCCCTGGGGTGTCTGCAGAGTGAGAGGCCTTCCGTGGTGACAGCTGTCACCGGGTGCACACAGCACCTTGCTGTCTTGTATACGTGACATGTTTTGCATAAGCGTGTGTGTGTGTGTGTGTGTGTGTGTGTGTGTGTAAAAGTGATGTACTTAAAAACTGGGGAATAAACACGCAACGTCCCGTTCACATCGGCGACTTACCGTACAAACTGGCCAGAAAAGACTCGTCTAAAGCGTTGATGAGGAGCGCCTTCACAACCCTTTCGAAGTGAGTGTAGTGGTCACTAAAAGAATCTGAAATTAGTTTAAAAATAAACATTAGGACGTAGCAGACAACACCATTTCCTGCCCACCGCAGCTGCCTGTCTCCCGGGCGGGGTCGACGCTGCTGGCCGGAGCGAGGGCTTCGGCGCCTGCTTCCAGAGCGGCCTGGCTCCGCTTTCCAGATGAGCAAGTTTCTAACCCAACGTTTCCATTATTTCAAATAACCTTCACTTTGCAAAATTATGAAGAGAAAACTGTTCGTCAAATACCAAGAGACACGAAATCCACGTGCTCCCGCGCACCCAGCCCGACCATCAACCCGGCGCTGGGCGCGGGCGCGACACGGCCAGAGGCAGACGGGCCGGGGCGCAGGGACGCCGGCCTCGGCTCCTCTCGGAGCCCGTTCCAGGAAAGCACGGAGACACGGCTGCCCTCGCCAGAGCCCCGGCGGCTACACACACTCCAGTTCCCGCCTGCTCCCCCAGATGGAGGCTTTCCGTGAGCCTGTCATCTTCTCTCCCAGCCACACCCGCGGCTGCGGGCCCACGAGCCCGGCCCGGTCCGCGCAGCCGCCCGCCGAGACGGGCCGGGCAACGGTCGGCCGAGTCCCCGCGACCCGCTGCCCTGGGCTCAAGACGGATGACGGCCGCGGGGGTGTTCTCCCCGCACATGCCCGCCCGGCCTGCCCGGCACCCGCGCGGGCAAAGGCGGTCGCGTGTTTCCGGAGCGCAGAGGACCCTGGCGCGGGGGAAGCGAGGCGAGCCCCGTCATCAGTGCCGCGAGCGGGCTTGCACTTTGCTTCAGTTAAAATACAAAAGACGGTATTGAACACGGAGAAGCCTTTTTACTCACACCTTAGATACAAGGAGGGTCATGGGGCTCCCTTCAGACGTCAGGGGACCTTTTTAGGCTCCACTCTCGTCTAAGAAAACACCTCACCACGTGCCGCAGGGACCAGTGACCGCAGGCGTAACGCTGGGCGGCCACGGCAGGTGATGGGCGCCGCGGCTCTGAGACTTCAGGGGCCCGAGATCACCGCGAGTTGCAGAAGAACTCCCGGGGCCACGCACGAACATATTTTTTCAGTCACCAGAACACGAGTGGAAAATGAAATAACAGACTTCAACTCTGTCCAGACCGTCGTCAGCCTCTGGACGCGGCAGTGCAGTGCTGGCACGTAACGGAATGTGTGTTAAGACGCATTGAAATGCTAGCACTTTCCAAATGTATTATGTGGAAAATGCTCTGGAAATAGCACATACTGAGAGGAAAAACACAAATGGACCCCTTGGGCACCCAAGTTTACCAAATACATGGAAAGAGCGAGGGTCTTTTCTCTGCCACACGGGCTTCGTCTTTCTTGCGTACACTGATGCCGGACGTCGCCCGCCTGCTGCAGTTTTGGGACCTGCTGGTCTCTTTCCAAGACCCTAATGGTGTTTCTTCAGGATTAGGAAGAAAAGCAAAGGACAGAGATGAGACTCATCCGGAGAGATTTCTCTGAACCAAAGCCCCCTGGCCGACGGCCCTGCCTCGGGAGCTCTCTCGGGGGGCAGAAGGCGCCTTGATCCCAGCAGGCCTGCGCGGGTGGGGTGGGGGTGGAGGAGTTTGCGTCTCGTATCTCAGATTAAAGGCAAAACACTGCGCAGGCACAGGCCGGGCACCGTGCCAAGACCTGGGTGCAGGGTTTATCTTTCTCGCCACGAGCCTGCGAAGCCCCAGCGTTACCTGTTTGCTTTCAGAGATACAGGGGCCATGCGCTCTCAGGTCACACAGCCAGCGAGGGCCACGGCCAGGGCAGGATCGGGGCCTGACTGGACCCCACAGCCGTCCGAGGCAGCCCGGGCCCGGGGCGCAGAGGGCTCCGTGCACAGCAGCCTCATTGACCCCACTATTCTCCAGAACATGGTGTTTTAAACTTGGCTGGAAACTGAGGAAACTCAGCTCTCTGAGAGCCAGGTGGCAGGGAGTGAGGCGTGACCCAGTGTCTTCCCAGCGGCACAACTGTTCTCTCCCAAAAGGTAACACTGGGTGGGTCACTGATGGCGGCAACTGAACTTGGGAGCTGGGAAATGTTTCTCCTAAATTAGAATCCTATGCTGAGAGATTGTTTGTCAGCGTTTTCATACTTTCAGGGCAGAAGGAGGCTGGGACTCTCCTAGCTTCGTCTACCAACAGCTTATAGCTTTACCGAGAAGACAGGCTTTGATGCTTCAATGTAAGAATTAACTTAGAGCAATTTTTAGAACATAATTTCTTGGCAAATTGAAAACAACATAGTTAATTCCGTTCTATTCATAAATGGCACAAACACAACATCCACCAAGTCTTAAATTATCACTCTGAACTGTGGGACTCTCCCCACTTTGCAGCTGACGTTTTGAGAGGTCTGGCCGCTCCGGACAGCTCTCGGCCCTGAACAGCTCTCGGCCCTGAACTCTCAAGGCCGCAGCCGTGGGCCCACACGCGTGGCTGCACCCCTCACCCATCCATCCAGCGCCAGCTGGACCATGCCACCCCGGCAGGCTCTGGGCACACCGAGGGAAGCCCAGCTGACCCACCACGGAGGTGGCCTCCTGAGAGCGGGATGTGACTTGGCTTTCTTGAGCCGAAGTTACGGGCAAGAGACCGACCGCCCGGGGCACAGGAAGACAAAGGCAGTTCGGGGACCTTCGGACGCCTGGACGTTGACATGGCGAGGGGGAAAGAGGCCAATTCGAAGGGGGAGGTGAGGGAGAGCCCGCCCCGGACGCTGGGGAGGGACAGCCTCCCCGGAGAGCCCAGCGCGGGGCAGCGAGCTGGAGCGAGGGAGGCCGCCCCTGACCCTAGGGAGAGCGGCTTCCCTGGACAGAAATTCCAAGGCCCTGACGCAGTGCTCGCAAGCCACGGGACACACCCCCCCCCACCCCCAGGCCGAGCTGAGCGAGCAGAGGAGCCACAGCCGGCAGGAGCCCAGACACCTGCGCGGTTGGGCTCTCACCTGCCCACCAGGGGGCGCCCGCAGCCCCCAGGGGCAATGAGGCGCGCACCTGCAGGCGGGCGTGGAGGAGACAGAGGCCACGTCCACCGCGCCCCAGGGTGAGTGGCCGCGGGCTGGCGCGAGGAGGCGCCCTCAGAGGGAGGCCAGGCTGGCTCTGAATCCAACCTCGGGCGCAGCGCCCTAAGCCAGCGGCAGCAGCAGCAGGAAGGCTGCGCTCACGGAGCACACCTGAGGGACGCATCCTCCAGGGAGCACACCCCAGTGCCCCATGGCCCGCGAGTGCAGTGACCGGGGGGAGGCCCCACGCACCCAGGGTCCCGCAGGATCCTCAGGAGCTACAACCGCTTCAATCTCTGTCAGATTTCACCCAACACGCTGCAAAACACCTGAAAATAAAACCAGCGGTTCGCGGGGTGTGCTCTGCAGCCCACGCCAGTCCCCGGCGTGGCTGGGGCCCACGAGGCAAGGCTGGGGCACGCGGGTGACTGTCTGTGGCCTTCCCTGTGCTGCCCCTTCACGGCGGCGCAACAGTGACCACGGGGAGGCCGCTGGCCCAGGCGAGGGCAGTGGCAGCACCGGCTGCTGACCCCTGTGGCCGCCACGACCCCGCGTTCCTCCAAAAGGCCACTTTCACTGGGGGCCGTGCACTAGCAGCAGGTGGTCACCTGCCTGACGACGGCCGGCCGTGGGTGAGCTGGGGTGGACGCACCGGGCACTTGCGCTCCACACAGTGTGACCCCTCGACCTGGAGAGGGGCTGGGCAGGCCTCCCTGACACGAAACACCGCTCCACTGGACAGGAGGGACCACAGACTGCCTGAGGCAAGCGCCAAGTACTTTTCGAAGAAGAACAAAGGAAACATGTCACTCCAAGTGGCCGTATTTGCTGCCAAAACGTAAGAGATTTGTAAGTAGAGATGAGGATTTGGGATGTGCTCCTGTGAGCTGGACGGCTTCCAGATCTCAGAAGGAACTTTCTGGTGAGACCCGCGTCGATATTAACACTTGGCGTTCAAAACGCTGTGTGATGAAATGCCAGCCCCTGGGGAGGTGGGCAACGCCGTGAACCGGCGGCCACCAGCAGCCCAGCGCCGCCGCATGACCAGGACGAGCAGACGCCAGCAGACGCCCCTTCAAAGGGCAGCCAGAGCCGGGCTGTGGTGTGAGCGCCCCCGGGAAGGTGGGTCAGGGGCCCCAGATCTCACCCCGCGGCTACACCGCAGGCAACTATCACCTGTGGGATTCTGGGAACATCCACAAATGTCCTGAAGACGCCTTTAAGATACTCCTCCCTTTCCAGCCCTGCCTGTGAGCGGGAGGTGTTGCCCTCGACCCCAAGCAAACCTCACAACAGGCTGACTGTGGGAGCAGTCTGCACCCAGCCGCCGTCTCTTAAGCTAGACGAGCACATCTGGCAAAATGGAAAGCAAAGTCTTCTCATGTGGGAGAAAATACACTTTTGTACAAATGTTATTTATATTAACGTGTAATGAGTTTATTAATGTCATTTAAGTCAATAAATGTATTTTAAATGTGTAGGATAAGGTAAAAGTGTCAGGCTTTTCTGCCCTCCCGCCATCAGGAGAGATGATGGATCCCTGCGGTCCTGAACGCAGGCCTGATGGCGGCACCTGGAGTGGGGTGTGGGCCTAGGTGGATGGGATTCACCTGGGCTGAGACTGGGCTTTTAAGGGCGGCGTCACGGGGACGCCAGCAGAAGCCGAGAAGCAGAAGCAGAACGGAGCAGAACCACAAGAGAAGCAGAAAAGGCCACGAGAAAACACCGGTGAGCCCAGATAGAGTGAAGACCTGCTGGGGTCTGGGAGGCCTGCCAGCCCCCCAGCACCCCTGCCTGCCGTGTACCTGGTAATCCCAATAAAAGCCCAAAAAGCCGCTGAGGGCTCCAGGACTCTCTCCTCCTTAACCGGGCCTGCTGGATCAGAAAACCTGCTCCGTGCCATTCCTGCCCCTACAAATGTCTCAGTTTTGTGTTTCTATTATGGCAAATGTTGACAGACACAATCTGAGGGGTAAATGGTTCCCAAAACCACCGCAACAAGCAAACTAACACCAGACAGACGTCACCCCCGGCCGCGAGGCCGAGCCCCTGTGAGCCCCGAGAACAGCTGGAGACTGACTCCATGTGGGATGTGCGGCCACCCACGGGGCCTTTTCTCCACACTCAACTTACAAAGAGAATTCCGTTTCACTAATTCCAGCTGTGACGTGCGCAGCGCTTCTCCCCGTGGGCCCTCACTCTGCTCATCGCCCTCCTGATCCTGCACCACGAAGTCATCGAGGATGTAATCATCTCCGCCGTCACTGCCCTCAGAGGTGTCCTGCTCCTGCTCCTGCTCCTGCTCCTCCTCATCGTCCCCGTCAATGCTGCCATCACCACCGCTGCTCGGGCAGGATTCCTCGCCAGAGTCCTGGGTAAAGGAAAACAGCCTTCAGGAGACTTTCTTTACGATGGTCAGCATGGCTGTGAAATTAAGATTAAATCCAAAAGCCAAAAAAAAAAAAAAAAACAACCAACCAACCCAGAGAAATTAATTTCCTAGTTCAAGGTTAAAGAAAGAATCTTGTCATGTTAAAGGGTGAACTTTGGAAATTAGGAAGAAAATAACACATCTTGGCACGTGCTGTAAAAAGCTTAAAATGGACTTTGAGGCTTTAAGTTGGAAGCAGGACCGCCCCAGAAGCGGCCCTTCCAACCCGGGGCCGGGAACCTCGACGGGCTGCGCCGGGACCACCGTGCGCGCTCGGCGGAGGACACGCGGCTGAGAAATCACCTCGAGGGCTGCCGAGGAGCGGAACGAACTCGCGCTTTTCCACAACCATGAAGCGCTGTGAGGGAGGACAGCGCACAGGCAGGACCCGAACCCGCGGCGCGGACCACGCACCTGGTGCTGCCCACCACGAGCCCGTGACGCCCTCCGCCGGGCCAGCGCCTCCAGCCTCCGCCGCTGCTCGAGCCTGCGCGCAGCTGCTGCCCGCCCGGGGGTGCTCTGGTCTGGGGGGCTCCGCTCCGGGGTGCTCCGCTCCGGGGTGCTCCGCCCGGGCTCCTGCGCGGGGCCCTCCTCCTCCAGCACCCTGCGGGGCCGCTTCGCCCCCGCCTTCCTCACCAGGATGTCGCTACCCTCGCTGTCCTCGCTGTCAGACATCATCGAGGACACCCGCCGCCTCCTGCCCCGCCTGACAGGCTCTTCGTCCAGGTCCTGGTCCTGGTCCCCCTCCGGGGCCAGCCCTGTGCGCTCGCGGGGGTCCTGCGCCTCGGCCTCGGGACCCGAGCGGCCTGGGGAGGTGGCGCCTTCCTGTCGGGGCTCGTCCTGCTGTGGGGGGCCAGCGTGGTGACCCGGGCCGGGCTCTCCGCTGTGTCCCTCGCTCTCGGCTGTGGTCAGTTCAAGCACCCTCTCTTCTGAGTGCCCACGGTCCAGCCCCGGGTCATGCTCCAGCGCCTCGGGAGGAGCCTTGCTGTCCACACTCTCTGCGCTGTCCACACTCTCTGCGCTGTCCACACTCTCCGCACTGTCCACACTCTCCCCGTTGTCCACACTCTCTGCGCTGCCACAGTCCTCATCACTGTCCAGGAGCTGCGAGACGCTGCTTCTCTTGGTCCGCCTCCAGTCCACGCGCGATTTCTGCTCACGCTCTTGTGCTTGAGAAGTTTTCCTTGTTTCGTATCTTCTGACAAGGACCATTTTCACTTAAGCTTCTACAAAATAAAGTTATCATGTGTATAACAATGACAAGGTTACAAAAATAAATGCATTCAGAATACCCACTATATTAGGGTTATAAAATGGGTCACACTGTAAAATCATATGCATGAAGCTGTGGAATAATAATTAAGCAATTTATAGAAATCTACAACACAATTAGATGAGCATCTACTCTGAATTATCCTGTATGTTGTGCTGGACAAGATACACTGAGAGGGCCTCCCCGGTGGCGCAGCGGTTGAGCGCTGGGTTGCGAAGCTGCCCGCAGCCTCTGCGGCGCCGGTTCGATCCCCGGCTGCTCCCCGGCCACCGGAGGAGGGTCCCGCATGGCACGCAGACCTCTCCTGCCGCCCGCTGCTCCCCTCAGCAGTGTCCTTCGGTCCTTCTGCCTGCTCTGCTCCCCGCTCTGGCTCTGGTGAATTCTCTCACCCTCCCGCGCTTCGGACTGTACCCAGTGCTTGTGTAAATAAATAAATAAATAAATCTTTAAAAAAAAAAAAAAGATACACTGAGAAATCATGGTCCTATTCTGCATATTATTAGTACCCATGTCTAGAACTGACACATCACACACTAGCCGGGATCATTCAGCATCCAGCAAGTGGCAAAGTCACTGAGATAAAAGCATAAAGAAGCAGGAAGATCAGTAGAGCAAGTGGGTCCCTGAAGCTATTACTGGAGATATGCTCTGATAGACTTCTGAAGGGGCTTTTCAGAAACATCTGGAGAGAAAAAATAAGACAGTTCCAGGAGATAAAAATGAGAGGGGCAGAACTCTGGCACTGGGAAAGATCGTGGTATGTGCCGAAAGTAAGAGTGACTGCAGAGCTGCAAAAAAGAGAGAAGAGTCGGGTGGGATGCCAGGATGATTCATTCTGGAAGCAAAGGAAGACTGAACAGAGAAATGACATGAATTATATGGTGAAGGATGATCGATTTCTATGAACAAAGTGCTACAGCAGGAGTTGACAGGCGCAAGCAATGCGCAGCTGGGAAGAATCTGCCCATCAAAAGGTCAAAGGGCTCAGCGTCAGAGACACAATAAAACCCAACAGAAAACTTACTAGCAATTCAGTAATGTCATCGGGTGGGGAAAAAGCTGTCATGGGGAGACAGAGGGCCTGGCGCTGGGAAGGAAAACAAACCCGGCGAGTTTCTGATTGAAAAAAAAAGTGAATGCCATGAACATTTCGCAGAGTGCAGTCCAGGAGCCAACAGACAAGCAACATGCCTGGGAAATCAGCGTCGCCCGCGACACTAAGTATCGTGGAGTTACTAAGGACAAGGACGGGGTCACAGTGTAAAGGAGACCGACCTCACCATACGGGAGCTGCGCTCGGCAGACAGCCGGCTCGCTCACTGCAAGAAAACCACATCGGAGGCTGATTACAGTATTGCCACCCCTGGGTTATTACTGGATTTTCTATAACCACAGTATCAACAACTATTAGCATGTGAAAATACTCACACTGCACTTGTTTATGCCTAAGAGTGGTCCAAATACCCACTTCATTAACTTGTCTCAGTGGTAAGGACTGCTGGTAGCTTGCAGAAAGGAAACCCTGTTCCAAAAGATGAAGATTAACTATCATGAAAGATGTTTTTTATTTATTTTTAAAAAAAGATTTATTTATTTATTTATACATACATACATACAAGCACTGGGTCAGTCAGAAGCGCGGGAGGGTGAGAGAATTCACCAGAGCCAGAGCGGGGAGCAGAGCAGGCAGAAGGGCCGAAGGACACTGCTGAGGGGAGCAGCGGGCGGCAGGAGAGGTCTGCGCGCCATGCGGGACCCTCCTCCGGTGGCCGGGGAGCAGCCGGGAATCGAACCGGCGTGGCAGAGGCTGCGGGCAGCTTCGCAACCCAGCGCTCAACCGCTGCACCACCGGGGAGGCCCGAAAGATGTTTTTTAAATGTGAAAATTCTGAAGGTAATTTCGAAAGCAGAATCCCATTTTTTCCCCCTGCACAATAACAGAATTATTTAAACCAAACTGATAGCATCCCAAGATGACAACTTTTTTTAAGCAAAAGGGACAGACCCCCTCATTTAATTGTACTAATTCTGATCTGTTTCTCTGGAATGTGACTGCTTCTGCAAGGGTCAGCACCTTATAGAAAATCACAACAACACTGGTACTTAAGATCACACACTGGGAGTCAGAGTGTATCACATGATTGTAGTAGCAATCAAATAAATCCCAGTCAAAAGACCAAATACTCTACTATACAAAATTACACTTGGATTGCTTTACGGGCGCTTTGGGTTAAAATCAGTCAAGATGAAAATAACGTGTGGTCAAAATTAGCTTTTGTAGAAAATCTCTATATTACTCTTCAAGGTTTTTTTGGGGGAGGGTTACACCATACTGGTTCATAACATCTCCACCAAGTTTTGTCTCCAGGTTTTAAACAGGTTATTGTTTTATTTTTTATTTTATTAAGATGAGATAAACCCGGGAGCTTATATTTTGAAGATACGACAAGCAAATTTTTTTAAGCATATATAAATCTGCACACGCCAACTGTGCACGTGCATTACACGACAGTGAATAGTAAGGATTTCTAGTAGGTGTGTCTGAATTGGGAGAAATAACGAGAAAACACCCGTGGAAATACATGACAAGGCCGCAGTAGACACGCTGAAGTGACGGAGGTCGTCGGGCTATGACAGTGAAGGCTGATGTTGTCAGTATTTACAAGCAGTTTCCTATGTGCTAAGTGATGCTCTTGCAGAACTATTCCACACCAAATGGTGATGTGCCATCCCAATGGGTGATTCCTAGGATAATGGTGGAAATGATTAAGAATCTCACACGACTGAAACATCTATGCACATAGTTAAGCTATTTTAAAAAGCCCTTCAATATACCAGTTTTTCAGGGCATTTTCCTCTATTTTTAAATTCTAATAATCATACTAAGAAGGAAGATAATATGTATCTTCATCTATAAAAATCAAAGCCAAGGGCAGAGAGTTTAAACGACTCACCGGAGATGGCAAGCGTGTCAGCGACAGCAGGGAGCAGGGTCTCCTGACCCGTCCGGGGCCTTGCAGCGCTGCCGCCGGCGTTACTCTTGCACAAGGCAGTAAAAATTATACCTTTAGAAAGTCATTGTTTTGTCCTTTATTCATGCTAAATTTTAGTTTCAGAAAATAATCATTAGAACAGTTTAGCGTGTACAAACGGGATTTTCAAATTACGTAACTAATTTCAGTGCACACGAGTTAGGCAGCAACTTCTGGAAATAATTTATCCAATAGGCAAGAAAATAATGTGCCAAAGAGATGAAAATTTGCAGACTTCCCTCGACCATCTTATTGCAGACACTTGGTCACAAAATTTAAGGGACGCCACTGAGTAAAAATTTCAGAGAAAGGTAGTTTCTGATGAGAAAAAAATTCATTTTAGAAAACTGCAGTACTGAACGTTTGGGGCCACACATTTTAGTCAATAAAATCGTTTCATTTCACCAAAGGCCAAATTTTCAGGGTCTCTCTCACTCTTCAAATTTGCCATGAATGTCAATAATGCTAAAAACCCCGTCACGGAAAAAGAAGGGAACTGGAACACAGCTGGTTCCTCCTTTTAAACTGCAGGTACCAGGTACTGTCACTGAGGTGACCGGGGAGGAGGCACGGCCACCCCCGGACAAGGTGAGGGAAACCAGGAGGTGAAGCGAGGCTGGTGCCAGGGGCGCGCGGTCCCTAGAATTCCCCCCAAAAAGAATCCGCGCAAAGGGCGTGAGTCCACCGAGGCTGCGCATCAACCCGAGGAGGCCGGGCCCGGCTCAGGGTCTCACCTGGAGGCAGGAGCAGGAGAGTCCAAGCGCAAAGCACCAAGGCGCGGGGAGGGTCAGCACCTCAGCATCTCCAGGGGCGCGCGCCGAGGTCTACTGGGGAGTGTGAATTAGGGGTGCGCGCCCCGCCGTGCCTCGCTCGCCCTCCAGCCAAGGGCGCTGGGGAGGCCACTGACTGCCCCGGGGAGGAACCCCGTCCTGGGGCGTCGGGGCTGATGCGCCCTCGAGGGGGATCATTCCAGGGACCACCTGCTCACCTGCCCCGCGGGCAGCGCAGGCGGCGGCGCGGAGAGGACGGCTTGAAGGCAGCGGAGCCCCAACAGTTCCTAGAAATGCGCCACCCAGGGGTGCGGCCGCGTCTGCCAACCTCGCCCCTCCCTGCGCCCCGTTATGTCACGATCTGGCAGGAAACCGCAGGCGACCTGAGAAGCGGGTGGTCCAGAGGCACCTGCGCCCCACCCGCCTCTGCTCCCCAGGAGCTCACAATCCGGGGAGGGGCTTGGGGGCGCCCCCGCAAGCCACCTCGACTCAGACTTCGGGGGACAGGGGCGGACTCGGACACAGCCCGGTCCCGCCGCCATGAACGGGCGGGCCCGGCAGGAACAGGAACCAGGGGCGTCGGCCGCCCCACTAGCCCAGGCGCGCGGGGCTCCAGCCTCCGCCACCAGAGCCGCGCCCGGATCTCGCGCACCACGCAGCGGGTGGGGAACCGGGCCGGGGAGCGGGGCGCCGCGGGGGCGAGCGGGGGGCGCGGCCTCCAGGCTCGGGGAGCCGCCGGCCCATCGGGCACCCGCGGGGGCTGGGCTGGGGTAGTCCCCGCCCGCGCTCACCTGCCCGCGCCCCCGCCCGCGCTCACCTCCCGCGCCCCGCCCGCGCTCACCTGCCCGCGCCCAGCTCCCCGCGCCCCCGCCCGTGCCCAGGTCCCCGCGCCCCGCCCGCGTCGCCTCCCGCGCCCCGCCCGCGCCCACCTGCCCGCGCCCCCGCCCAACTCCCCGCGCCCCGCCCGCGCTCACCTGCCCGCGCCCCCGCCCGCGCCCACCTGCCCGCGCCCCCGCCCAGCTCCCCGCGCCCCGCCCGCGCTCACCTCCCGCGCCCGCCCGCGCGCGCAGGTGCGCCCGCCCCTTCCGCGGGAAGTCCCGCCTGGCCGCGGGCGGGGCGCTTCCGGGCGCGGGGAGGAGCGCGGCGGCCCCGGGGCGGGGAGCGCGGCGGGTCCGGTTCCGACCCAGGTGGGCGCGGGGCCGGCGGGCGCGGGGGGCCGGCGGGCGCGCGGGGCCGGGGCCGGCGGCGGGGGGCCGGGCGGGGCCGCTCCCGATCCCGCGCTTCCGCCCGCGCCGAACTTCGGGGTGTGGCGGGGCCGGCGGGGCGCCCGGGCGGGGCGCGGAGCGGCGGGCGCCGCGGGCTGCGGTTTCGGTCCGGGCCGGTGAGGCGCGTGCTGGGCGCGGTGACCGCGGGGCCGGGCAGCCCCCGACGCCCCTCGAAGTTAAAGGCCCGGCCCCAAACTTCCTCCCCTGCGCCCTGGCCCTGCCGGCCCCCCGCCCGCGCGCGCAGCCGGCCACGGGGTCGGGGCCGCGGGGGAGGCCGGGCGGGCGGGCGCGGGGCGTCCTGCGGGGCGCGGGCCGAGCCCCCTGCCCCGCGCGAGCGCCAGCATGTCGGGGAAGCGCAAGCGAGTGGTGCTGACCATCAAAGACAAGCTGGACATCATCAAGAAACTCGAGGACGGAGGCTCCTCCAAGCAGCTGGCCGGCCTCTACGGCATCGGGGAGACCACCGTGCGCGACATCAGGAAGAACAAGGAGAAGATCATCACCTACGCCAGCAGCTCCGACTCCACCAGCCTGCTGGCCAAGAGGAAGTCCATGAAGCCGTCCATGTACGAGGAGCTGGACAGGGCCATGCTGGAGTGGTTCAACCAGCAGCGCGCCAGGGGCAACCCGGTGTCCGGGCCCCTGTGCGCCAAGAGAGCCGAGTTCTTCTTCTACGCGCTGGGCATGGACGGCGACTTCAACCCCTCGGCCGGCTGGCTCACGCGCTTCAAGCAGCGGCACAGCATCCGCGAGATCAACATCCGCAACGAGCGCCTCAACGGGGACGAGGCGGCCGTCGAGGAGTTCTGCGGCCACCTGCGGGACTTCATCGAGAGGGAGAACCTGCAGCCCGAGCAAATCTACAACGCCGACGAGACCGGCCTCTTCTGGAAGTGCCTGCCCGCCAAGGGCAAGTGCGCCGCGTCGGGGCGCGCGTGGGCCGAGGAGCGCGTCACGGTCCTGTGCTGCGCCAACGCCACGGGGCTGCACAAGCTGAAGCTGTGCGTCGTGGGGAAGGCGCGGAAGCCGCGCTCCTTCAAGGCCGCGGACACCGCCAACCTGCCGGTGTCCTACTTCAGCCAAAAAGGGGCGTGGATGGACCTCTCCATCTTCCGGCAGTGGTTTGATAAGATTTTTGTGCCGCAAGTCCGCGAGCACCTGAGGTCCAAAGGCCTGCAGGAGAAGGCCGTGCTCCTGCTGGATAACTCGCCGACGCACCCCAATGAGAACGTGCTGCGCTCGGACGACGGCCAGATATTCGCCAAGTACCTGCCCCCGCACGTGGCCTCCCTGATCCAGCCCTCGGACCAGGGCGTCGTAGCCGCCATGAAGAGGAACTACCGGGCCGGGCTTCTCCAGAACAACCTGGACGAAGGGAATGACCTGAAGTCCTTCTGGAAGAAGCTCACTCTGCTCGACGCACTTTATGAAGTCGCGGTGGCCTGGAGTCGGGTCCCGCCGGCCGCCATCAGCAGGGCGTGGAAGAAGATCCTCCCGGCCCTCGAGGAGAAGGAGGGCCTGGACTTGGACGGAGAAGAGATTTCGGTGGCCACAGTGGCCAGCATTTTACAGCACACCAAAGGACTGGAGCACGTGAGCGCCGAGCACCTTGAAAAGTGGCTGGAGGTGGACAGCACCGAGCCAGGCTACGAAGTCTTAACGGACAGCGAAATCATCCGGAGGGCCCAAGGCCAGACAGATGAGTCCAGCGAAAACGAGGAGGAGGAGATAGAACTGATTCCAGAGCGACATATTAACCACGCAGCCGCTCTGCAGTGGACCCAGAACTTGCTGGATTACCTCGAGCAGCAAGGCGACATGATTCTGCCCGACAGGCTGGTGATCCGGAAGCTTCGGGCCACCATCAGGAACAAACAAAAGGTGGCAAGCTCGAGTGAATAGTGATCCGGAAGCTTCGGGCCACCATCAGGAACAAACAGAAGGTGGCAAGCTCGAGTGAATAGCGGCACCTCGCCGTCAGCACCGTGGGGAGCGCTGTTGTTAAGGCCGGTCTCTGCCAGGGGGCTTAATTTTCTGTGTTCTGAATTCTCAGCTGTGGCTTGTGAAGCGCAGGCTCAGAAATGTGTCTGACGTGGTTGACATTGTGTTGGCGTCACCCGTGTTCCCTTGTCTGTGCAGACACTCGGAGCTGATCGTGGATACAGAACCAGGCCCCCACCTGCCCTGCCTCCCGGCGGCCCGCCCTGGCCGGCAGAAGTCACAGGTGGCGGTGAAAGATGCGGCACTTTCCCGAAACTTGTGTGATTTGTGGGGGCAGCCACCATGACCTCTTCTTGTGCCGGCCCTTGGCTAGCAGTTGTGTGTGTGTCTGTGCTGATGGGGCGAGAAATTCCTGTGATTTCAGGGTGATTTGTAATCTGTCAAATAATGAGAAACTGGATCATGAACTGGGAAAGTAACTTGGAAATCGTCCTCTGTTCTCTTCTATGTGGATGGCAAGAAGGAGCATTTCGGAGCAATGAAGGCCATAGGGTGTGGTTGTTAAATTAATGAGGAGATTTGGGAAGCAGCTATATTACAGGTGTCCTGCTCCATCAGTAGGAGACGAGGAATTGGGAATCTTGGGAACTCTCGGTTACTAATACAAAGGGAATAACCAGGCTTGCTTTATTTGGGTCTTTTATTATATTTGGGGTTGGGTAACCATATAGGTTTATTATTTATTCATCTAATTACAGCCTAGGTTTTGTAATGTTCTATGTGATGATGTGAGCCCCCGCCTGAGGCAAGGGGACTCCTGGGGATTGGAATGTTATTTTTTTACTGTATATTTGAAAATGTGTATAATTTGAAAAAGTTTGTCATAACCCCCCCCCTTTTCTTTGATTAGAAAAGAAGAAATGAATAAAGCTTTTATTGTTTCAAAGAAGCCATAGGTGGTGACCTGTCTCGTGAAGAAAGCAGAATGAATTATGGAAATTGCCAGATTCTAAGGAATTTCACCCTCGCTTTGACACTTGTCAAAAAGATGTTATTTCCTCAAGAGATCATTAAGTCAGAGTTTTTATATATTTGTTATTCAAGACATTGTAAGGGCTTTGTGTGAATAGGAATTTGTGATTCCAACGCACAGTATGTCCACCTGCTTGTGTTTTGGTCCTCGATTAAAACAGAGTTGTTCTCCCTCAGTTGTTTTTTAAAAGGTCTAAGTTTTCCGTTGAAAAAGTTTGCATTTTCTAGTGCCTTCCTTAGAGTTGTAACACTTCAAAGCTATGACTAGCTTGCCAGGACTCCCGTTACCTTCATGACATGTCTGCGTTTAAGAAAAGACAGACCAGCGAGGACAACTGTTTAGAAACTCGACTTGCACCAGTTGTCTCAATGCACAGGGGAAAAACCATCAGAAGTGAGTGGACACTGGCTCAGACAATTACGTATTCTGCTATCCATTCGATCGTAGATAACATAATTTTTCATTTTTCTAAAACACAAGTTTGTGCTGGAAGGCTTGGAATTTCGGTGGCTCTCCTAAGGGGCCTTGTCAGTGGATGTCCCCGCGTCGCCGCCCCCCGGTGGCCGCCTGGCATTACTGCTCTGCTGTGTGGTTTGAGTCTTGCCTCTTAGTAAAAGGTTCATTTGTGGCCTCGAGTGTGAATCTTGTGACTTTCTCTGGCCCGTGAGAGACAGGTCTTCCTGCTTTATACCCGTTTGCTCTTCTGGAAGCCGCCAGCACTGGTGGGCCAGCACTTCTGTTCTGGACCCTTCCGTTCTTCAACATACCTATAAAGGCCGCCAGGTCCCGACTATGAGGGTAAGCGCGGTTAGGGATTAAGTGGACCCCTGAGTCTCACTTCCCGCACTTAGCTGCTCAAGATCTTTGGCTCCAGGTAAGAATTTAAACCCCGGTTTTATCTTCCCCAGCCGAGGCTGGCTTCTTACACTCACCTTTCAGCTCTCGTCCCTTGCCACCACGCCCCCCACGCCACCGCCTGGAGTTGGCATCAGATTCCGCAGGTAAAGAGCTCAGTCCCAACAATGGCAGCCCCGCCTCACCCAGGCTGAGGTGCCGGTGGGTTCCCTGTGCTGCTGACCTCTAATTACAAATTGGGGGTTCCAACAATACCCTTCACTGCCCCCCACTTCAGGATGCCAGTTCCGAGTCCCCCTTCTCTGCACTTCTGTCCAGCTGGCCCTAGGTCACGAGCTGCGACGGCCGCCTGCTTGGGGAGTGAGTCCGCTGCAGTGGCCCACACAACTCGGAGGAACAGGAGGCCGGTTTGTTACACGAGGGTGTAGCTCAGGTGCTGGGGTAAGGTGTGGGGGGAGGTGACAGCGTCCTGCCCTCAGGTGCAGGCACTGCCCCCCCTGGCCGCTCCCAAGGCCGTCCAGGGTGTTGTAGGGGCTTCATGGCAGGGAAATGGTTGGCTCCATCCTTGGCCTGCGGTGACAGGCTCAGTCTCCTGCCTTGGGAGGCCCCGGGGTGAGGGGTGTGTGGGGGGTTGGTCTGAAACTTCCATCTTCTAATCACAAGGTTGGCTCTTGCAGAAGCCAATCCCCACCCAAGTGTCTCCCCCAAATCACCTCTAGATGAGCAAAGACTCCTTCACCCCAACCGCCAAGAGTTTCAGAAGCTGTTCCAGACTCTGAACCAAAACCAATCCGATTTTTTTTTTTTTTTGGTAAATATTTTACTCGACTAAAGTTTAACTCCAGAACCGCTTTCATTATTACAGGACTGTAACAGCCCCCCTGGGGCCTGTTTGGGGTGGACAGGTGGGGGCGGGAACGCTCGACACACTCTCCAGTGGGGGCGGGGCGCCGCGGCCGGTCATCACGGGCCCCGGCGCGCGGCTCTGCCCGACCCCCGGGTGCGGGTGCTGGGGGCTCCCACCCCCACCCTGCCTCGCCCCACACCCCCGCGCGGGCCCTGGCGCCTGTTCTCGCAGCCGCACGACCTCGGTCCTGCTCTGGCCCCGGCGGAGTCCGTGGGGGTCACTGAGGGGGGACCGGCGCCTCGTCCAGGAGGGGGACACACCTGCGCGGGGCAGGGCCGCGCCGCCCGGCTGTGCGCGTGCGCCGGACACACCTGCGCGCCTCCCCCTCCCCCGCGGGGCTCCGGCCCCCCCCACCCCGCGCGCACCTGCTCGCCGGCCTGGGCCTCGTGTGCTCCGGCCGCGTCCACGCGGGGCCGGGCCGAGGGCGCAGGTGGGGCGTGGGCGGCGCCCCGGGCGGAGTCGCGGGTCCCGGCCCAGGGGGACCCACGGGGCGTCACGGGCTGCCCGCGCGGGGCGGGGAGCTCCCCCCACCCCCCGAGGGTCCGCAGCTCGCGCCTCCCTCCCCGGCCCCAGGGCGGCTGCCCGGATGGTCACCGCGGGGCCTCTGCGCTCCCGGCCACCGGCCCCTCCCCTGGGCCCGGGGCTCCCGCTAGACACGGCGAGTCCCGCGCCCGCGGCCCCAGGTCCAGGCCCGCGGGCCCTGCCCCTGCCCAGCCTGGCGGAGCCCGCGCGGGCCGCTCTGCTTCTGCATAGGAGCTTGGCGGTGGGGAGGGCCTCGGGGTGGGCCTCGGGGTGGGCCTGGGGATGGAGCTCAGGGTGGACCTTGGGGTGGGCCTCGGGGTGGGCCTTGGCGCCTGGCGCCTCGGGAGGGAGCTTCGACAACGGGCGCCTGTTGTTCTTCGAGCCCGTTGCTGGACTGGAGGCTGACCTGCAGGCGATGCAGAAGTTATGAAGTTGCTTTTTTTTTTTAAAGATTTATTTATTTACTTATACAAGAACCAGGGTACAGTCAGACGCGCGGGAGGGTGAGAGGATTCACCAGAGCCAGAGCGGGGAGCAGAACAGGCAGAGGGACCGAAGACCCTGCTGAGGGGAGCAGCGGGCGGCAGGAGAGGTCTGCGCGCCATGTGGGACCCTCGCCGGCTGGTCAGGATCAAACCGGCGCTGCAGAGGCTGTGGGCAGCTTCACAGCGCAGCGCGCAACCGCCTGCCCCCCGGCAAGGCCCTATGAAGTTGCTTTTTACAGTGTATTTGGGCAGGGGTCAGGGGTCGATGTCAAGGGACCTAGAATTGTCTGCCACCCTTAGATTCAGTCACTCGAAAAATCGTGGGGCTTGGCTGAGTGGGTAGGGTTGTGGGGGTGCAGAAATGGAAAGGAGGGCCCCCTAGGAACGCAGGGCACAGATTTTGAGTAATAATTAGCCCTTTGTGGAACAAAAATCGATAATGTAGTCCGTGCACACCGCGCGGGCTGGGGGCGCTGGGCGTGTGCTGAGGCTTGGGGGGCTCCACCGGCGCGAGGGTGAGGGATGGACATGAGGCAGCTGCGAGGCGCAGCGCGGGGAGCCCGGGTTCCGGGCTTGGGTGCTCCTCATCCCTCCCGACCTCCCGGCGGCCAGGGGCCACGCGCGCCTGTGAACTGCCCCCAGCCCTGGCCCTCGCCAGCCTCACTCCCCTGCGCGTGGCCCGCGAGCTGCCCTGCCCGGCCGCCCTGCGCTCCCTCCTGCTGTGGCCGCCGGCTCTGCCGCTTCATTCCCTGGAGCACGCTTTCCTCAGAGTTTCTGCTCCTCCGGGAGGTTCCCTCCCTGACGGGAGGGCGGCTGAGCCGCGTCTGTTAAGAGGACACGCGTGTGTGTGTTATGCACGTGGTGGCTGTGCGTGTGCGGGCAGGGGAGGCCTCGCGCTCCCGCCCCGGGGCAGAGGCCTGTCTGGGGCCGCGGGTGATCTGCGCCTCTCTCCTGCGTGGGGATCACAGCGTCAGCTGTTCAGAGGCTTCAAGACCAGAACGAGCCGCACCTGTGAACGGGTGTGGAGGTTTGTGTGCTCTCGGGAGGAAGGCTTGGGGGGCGGGAAGGCTCCAGAACGGGAGGACGAGGGTCTGGCCAGAGGAGGGGCCGCGGAAGCCCAGGTTTGCCGCCCCAGGTGCTCACCTGAGTCCACGCGCGGTTGGGCTCCCCGCGCCACGTCCAGAGCTCTCGGCTGCTTTCTCCCCGCATTCTGCACAGTGGGGGGCCCACGTAGTCACAGTGTAAACAGAGGCCCTTCTCCCCCCTTTTCCATATCATTCCGTGATGCGTGTGGCGTCTCAACCTGAACACGTCTCCGGAAGGGGAGACGAGGTCGCTCCGTGCACCTGAAGGTAGGAAGAGAAAGACCAGCGGGTGGAAAGCGCCTTCCAGAGATGCGGACCTGCGGTTGTAGGGAATGAATACATTCAAGGGATCAGAGAGGAGAAACCTGGGCAAGGAACCTCAAATCTATTCCCACGTGAGAGTCTCTGCACAATCACGCCCTTCCCGAAGAGGGAAGTTGAAAGCGCATTTACCAGACACACGTCACGCCAACGAGGGCAGATTTGCTTTTAAAACTTACTTAAAAGCTGTCGTATTGGGGTGATTTCAAGTTGACTGAGAGCAGGTGTGTGCTTTTAGCTACGGCTGAAACACAGCTCAGCTCTGCTGCGGATCCGTCTGCACGGGTAGCATTTTGACAGAAGATGGAGGTGACTGGTTTGATGTGGTTCTGGGTGAAGAGGATAAATGGTTCCGACCAGCCCAGCATCTCGTCTGTTCCCCCTTTATACCTGGTGTTCTTTCTCTCTGGCAGAGTCACGTCTTGTTGTCTGTGGCCTGGACCTCCGTGCCCTGCCTCTGGCGCTTGGATGTCCGTGGGCTCCTAGGAAAGCGAGGACACACCCCGCGTGGCCGGCGGGCATAATAAATCCACCCAAGTAACAGCAGCCAACTGACCGTACCCGCGCGACCCCTCGGGTCTGTGGGACTGTGGGACTGTGCACGTCCCATTCTGCACGAGAGACTAGTATGTGATGAGACTTTTCTGGATTAAGTGACACAAAGGAAACTCTGTGGCGGACATGGCATGAGGCGCCGTGCAAACCGGAGTCAAGGGTCTGCATTTGCTCATGGAATTAGCACCACGATTATTTTCTATTTTCATTGAAGTGTTTGGGACTGGCTCATTTTAATTGTATTACGGCTATTTTAACAGATGAAATAAGATTGATGCAATATGGAAAATCAATTATCCATGAAATAATTTTAGAGACGATTTTGTACCTTCATTAGTAGAATCTACTTTTTTCTCTCCTTCATGGGGAACATCGTTTCCATATTAACAGTAAGGCGTCTCTCAGAGGAACGTCCACCCCCTTTTTATTCGAGGACTTGTCAGCTCCTTCGGGTGACGATGAAATTTTGTCATTTATTCTTTGGCTCATTCATTCTTCTCAAATATTTATCTGTCTACAAACATTTCCCTGCTCTGTAACCAAACATTTAAATAATTACCCTCCAAATTCATCTCACAGATTTGTGGGATCATGAACTTGAAATTAAATCCCTAGATATTTTGTATGTTAGGAAAATGACTCTTGCATTTAGGTTGCTATTGTACTTTAGAAATCGATGAGAGGATGAAAATATTTTTACGGAAATATAATCTTGAGTTTTTTTTTTAAAACAGGTTCTTTTTTTTTTAAGAATATAATTTCTTTTTATTTTATTTTATTTATTTATACAAGCACTGAGTACAGTCAGAAGTGCAGGAGAGTGAGAGGATTCACCAGAGCCAGAGCAGGGAGCAGAGCAGGCAGAAGGACCGAAGGACACTGCTGAGGGGAGCAGCGGGCGGCAGGAGAGGTCTGCGCGCCATGTGGGACCCTCACCCGTGGCTGGGGATGAACCAGCCCTACAGAGGTTGTGGGCAGCTTTGCAGCCCAGTGCTCAACTGCTGTGCCACGAGGGAGGCCCGATCTTGATGAGTTTTAAGCATATAAATTGGTTCCTAAAACCAGACTTAGTTGAGGTTATTACTTAGAAATGCTTATGACATATAATTCCACCCACTGATTTCTATAAACATATGATACAAATAACCTTTTCGTTGACATACATTTGAGATATTAATATTCCACACCCAGGCATTATATTACCTAGATGCAACTGTGGACTTGCACAAAGAAAAAATTCAACTGCAAGTATACCCTAAAATATTACAATTTTTAAAACAGGAGCTTTATCTCAGGTGACTTCATAAAAATCTCTTCCAAGGTAATGAGTGTTTTATTGAGTTGCAAGAATGCCTGGTCTTCAGCGAGTATCTTTTGTTTTTACAGTCATCCCGATAGGAGCTTTAGCATTAATCATACATCCCACAGCTGAACAGAG